GGGGGGGAGTGGAGAAACATCAATGAGGTGCTTCCCACAGGTGCGCCAACAGGGACTGGGATCAAACACGCAACCTAGATATGTGCCCTGGCCAGGAACTGAACCCGTGATCCTTGAATACACGGCACAATGCTCCAACCAACTGAGCCACACTAGCCAGGGCAAATTATCTTCCTTTTAAAGTCAACAGTTGAATTTTGGAGTTACCTACTTACCCGGAAAATGACCAATAAAATTAACAATGAACTTGAAAGATGAGTTAGGTAGTTAGGAAAAAATGATAATCTCATTTATTTCTTCTTCACAGGAGAAAGAGGACTGTTGTTGAACTTGTTTGTGGGGGATGTGTGTGTGTGTGTGTGTTTTGTGCCTGGGAATGTTTTGCTCTTACTTACAATCCTTAGGTATAAAAAAAATAACCACATTACAAAAAACATTCATGACTCTTATCCAGCATGAAATACACAATCACACTAAAGAAAAAAAAGAATCAAATTATAAGTAGGGGTCAGTGCTCTCAAGATTAACATCACTTTGGGTCCATAAAGAAATACACTTAATAGCTCATCTAAAGAATCGAATAAACTAAAGTGCAAATTTATTTTTATAAACTAAAGTGCAAATTTATTTTTTCATTGCCAGAACTCAGTGTAGTGCCAGGCTACACTACTTGATGAATAACTTCACGGTGCTACACTATGAGTATAAAAAAGTAAATCACAGGAACAGGTATAATTTTAACAAATTAACATAAAAACAAAAGCTCCCTACAGAGAGCGTCCTGAGTCTGATGTCTTGGGTAGAGTGGGTGCTCCTATCAAAATTGCCTCAAAACTCCTAAGAGTAAGTATATGCTCAGCAGTGTAAAACCCGTTACTGGCTTATTTAAAACAAAAAGCTACACAGGGAACTAGCCTGCACAAGCGATACCCGCCCAACAGGTCACTCTTACTTACCCAAGGTAATGATGGCGTGTGCTCGGATCACAGAAGGCATGACACAGCCTCTGACCTGGGTGAGCGGCTGAGAGGCTGGGGCTTCGCTGCTACCTTGAGAGGATGCTACTACAGGGGAAAGAGAAAGGGCTGTTTACAGTACTTCCGGGGCCAACCCAGACTTCAGATAGTATCTGCAAGGGATAATCTTAAGTGCCTTACAATGATCCACATCAGCAGAAGAAGCTACAATGGACTGAATCAGAAGGAAGGCTCGCTTCTCCACTCTGGCTGGGCAGAGCTGCGCTATATCTCCTAAGGTAAAAATATACTTCACCTGCAAAGAAAATTTGTTTTGCAGTAAAAATAAAGCAGAAAATAAAAATTTTTTAAATTAACTCTACCTATAGATTAAAGACACACCAATGGAGTACTATTTTTGTTCCACAAATTTAAAAGAACTTTTTTTTCTCATAAAAGTAAATAGCCATTTAAAAAATTCAATCACTGCCCAGCCGGGTGTGGCTCAGTGGTTGAGCACTGACCTATGGACCAGGCGGTCACAGTTCAATGCCTGGTCAGGGCACGTGCCCAGGTTGTGGGCTTGATTCCTGGTAGGGGGCGTGCAGGAGGCAGCCCATCAATGATCTCTCACCACTGTTTCTATCTTTCTTTCCCTCTCCTTTTCTCTCTCTGAAATCAATAAAAAAATATTAATAATAATAAAAAAACATCAGTCACTACTTAAACTTCATCCAAAACTAGGGTTACCAGATGATTTTCTTTACCCTCACCCCAGGA